TATAGAAAGCTTATGAAGGTAATTGCAGAAGATTTAAAGAAATGGAAAGACATTCCCTGCTCATGGATTGGAAGAATAAATATTGTCAAAATGTCAATACTACCCAAAGCTATCTACACATTCAATGCAATCCCAATCAAAATTGCACCAGCATTCGTCTCGAAACTAGAACAAGCAATCCTAAAATTCATATGGAACCACAAAAGGCCCCGAATAGCCAAAGTAATTTTGAAGAAGAAGACCAAAGCAGGAGGCATCACAATCCCAGACTTTAGCCTCTACTACAAAGCTGTCATCCTCAAGACAGCATGGTATTGGCACAAAAACAGACACATAGACCAATGGAATAGAATAGAAACCCCAGAACTAGACCCACAAACGTATGGCCAACTCATCTTTGACAAAGCAGGAAAGAACATCCAATGGAAAAAAGACAGTCTCTTTAACAAATGGTGCTGGGAGAACTGGACAGCAACATGCAGAAGGTTGAAACTAAACCACTTTCTCACACCATTCACAAAAATAAACTCAAAATGGATCAAGGACCTGAATGTGAGACAGGAAACCATCAAAACCCTAGAGGAGAAAGTAGGAAAAGACCTCTCTGACCTCAGCCATAGCAATCTCTTACTCGACACATCCCCAAAGGCAAGGGAATTAAAAGCAAAAATGAATTACCGGGACCTTATGAAGATAAAAACTTCTTCACAGCAAAGGAAACAATCAACAAAACTAAAAGGCAACCAACGGAATGGGAAAAGATATTTGCAAATGACATATCGGACAAAGGGCTAGTATCCAAAATCTATAAAGAGCTCACCAAACTCCACACCCGAAAAACAAATAACTCAGTGAAGAAATGGGCAGAAAACATGAATAGACACTTCTCTAAAGAAGACATGCGGATGGCCAACAGGCACATGAAAAGATGCTGAAAGTCGCTCCTCATCAGGGAAATACAAATCAAAACCACACTCAGGTATCACCTCACGCCAGTCAGAGTGGCCAAAATGAACAAATCAGGAGACTATAGATGCTGGAGAGGATGTGGAGAAACGGGAACCCTCTTGCACTGTTGGTGGGAATGCAAATTGGTGCAGCCACTCTGGAAAACAGTGTGGAGGTTCCTCAGAAAATTAAAAATAGACCTACCCTATGACCCAGAGATAGCACTGCTAGGAATTTACTCAAGGGATACAGGAGTACTGATTCATAGGGGCACTTGGACCCCAATGTTTATAGCAGCACTCTGAACAATAGCCAAATTATGGAAAGAGCCTAAATGTCCATCAACTGATGAATGGATAAAGAAATTGTGGTTTATATACACAATGGAGTACTACATGGCAATGAGAAAGAACGAAATATGGTCCTTTGTAGCAACGTGGATGGCACTGGAGAGTGTGATGCTAAGTGAAATAAACCATACAGAGAAAGACAGATACCATATGTTTTCACTCTTATGTGGATCCTGAGAAACTTAACAGAAATCCATGGGGGAGGGGAAGGAAAAAAAAAAAAAGAGGTTAGAGTGGGAGAGAGCCAAAGGGTAAGAGACTCTTAAAAACTGAGAACAAACTGAGGGTTGATGGGGGGTGGGAGGGAGGGGAGGGTGGGTGATGGGTATTGAGGAGGGCACCTTTTGGGATGAGCACTGGGTGTTGTATGGAAACCAATTTGACAATAAATTTCATATATTGAAAAAAAATATATATATATATATTAAAAGATAAGTATGGTGGTGCTGTGGACAGTAACTCAGGGTAGGAAGGTAGTAGATTCAGGGAATCTGTATTTGGGGAGAAATGTGAAGGATCTGGGGTGACAGGGGGGGATGGAGCAGGGGGAGTGATTTCGCTGATATTTGGGAGACAGAAGTTGATAAAATATAGTGGTTAAATGAGAAAGGAAGCAGATATAGAGAGAGGAGCCTAAAACGATCCCAAAGTTTTGACATGGATCTCTGAGCAAATGATAATGCCTTTCACTTGATTTAAGGAACACAGGAAGAAGTGTATGTGTGAGGAAAGAAAATGAATTCAGTTTAGATATGCTGAGGTAGAAATGTCTGAGGAACATATAAGGGCAGATGTCTGGTAGGAAAAAGGAAATGAGGCTCTGAAGCTCAGGGGAGAGATCTTAATCAGAGATTTAGATTTCAAGGCTAAATATTTACAATTTTATTCAGAATGATAAAATGTCACAAAAACAGTCAGAGCTACTAATGTCCCACCAGCTGCTGCTTCTTCCCTCCTGCAGACTGTTTAACACTCATCAACCAACATCTATCAGGATATGCTATGTGGGTTTGCAGTCTGCCATGCACTGGAGCCTCCCGAGATATGTCTGTCAGATCAGCAATGAGACTTACAGTGCAAGAACAGCTGGTCCTCTCTGGAGCCTGTTCCCCCAGCTCAAACCTGTCCTCAGCACAGAGGTGAGAGTGTCCTGGCGATACTGAACACTAGACTAGCACTGTTTGATTGATCAGATTGACTGCTTTGTATCAACACTCTGTGCACCTGATCTAACACATTCCTAACTTTTCATGATCTCTGATAACTAATTCAAGGAAGTAATATATGACCAGTTTAATACCTAATTATTATGAAAGTATACATAGCTGGTATCATCAGCTCAGTGAACTAAAAATTTTTTTTAATATGAAATTTATTGTCAAATTGGTTTCCATACATTTCCATACAACACACAGTGCTCATCCCAACAGGTGCCCTCCTCAATGCCCATCACCCACTTTCCCCTTCCCTCCCATCCCCCATTAACCCTCAGTTTATTCTCAGGTTCTAAGAGTCTTTTATGGTTTGGCTCCCTCCCTAACTTTTTTTTTCCCTTCCCCTCCCCCATGGTCTTCTGTTAAGTTTCTCAGGATCCACATAAGAGTGAAAACATATGGTATCTGTCTTTCTCTGTAAGACTTATTTCACTTAGCATAACACTCTCCAGTTCCATCCATGTTGTGACAAAAGGCCAGATTTCATTCTTTCTCATTGCCAAGTAGTATTCCATTGTATATATAAACCACAATTTCTTTATCCATTCATCATTTTTTTTTATCCATTCATCATTTGATGGACATTTAGGCTCTTTCCATAATTTGGCTATTGTTGAGAGTGCTGCTATAAACATTGGGGTCCAAGTGCCCCTATGCATCAGCACTCCTGTATCCTTTGGGTAAATTCCTAGCAGTGCTATTGCTGGGTCATAGGGTAGTTCTATTTTTTTTTTTTTTAATTTTTTTTCAACGTTTATTTATTTTTGGGACAGAGAGAGACAGAGCATGAACGGGGGAGGGGCAGAGAGAGAGGGAGACACAGAATAGGAAACAGGCTCCAGGCTCCGAGCCATCAGCCCAGAGCCCGACGCGGGGCTCGAACTCACGGACCGTGAGATCGTGACCTGGCTGAAGTCGGACGCTTAACCGACTGCGCCACCCAGGCGCCCCGCGGTAGTTCTATTTTTAATTTTTTGAGGAACTTCCACACTGTGTTGGGACTGAACTAAAATTTTTGAAGGCTTATACAACTACACAGATCCTAATGGAAAGAAGAAAGAATGTTTAACAATTAAATCTAGATTTAAATTCTGCTTACTAGTTTACACTTAAAACTAAAGAAAGGAAGTAGTGTTTTCAACTAAGGACCTTACAGTTTTATTACGTGAATGGGAAGGTGGTATAGTTTTCTAATTTAGTCTAGGGGTTTTTAAAAGATCAAAACATTTCCAGCAGCTCTACAAAAAAGAACATTTTTTTCACTTTTCTTCTTTTAAAATATTTTGTTTCTTGAGGCTCAATTACAAATAATAAGCCCAAAGAAAAAACAACTGATGCATTAATAACCTCACGTGGACCAGAGCTGGGGTGTCTCTGCTGGGCTTAGATCTTCTCTGTGCAGTAAGCCCGAGAAAGCATGTACTGAGCACAGACACTGTGTGTGGTGCTGTGATCATGGAAAGAGAAGACACAATCCCTGGCACTCAAGGATGATTAAGCAGGGTGCTCTGGTTTTTAAACTGCAGCCCATGGACTTTCAGTGGTCACACAGAATACTGGGTGGGGTTAAGGGGCACAGTGAGATTCCTATTATTTCCCCTTTCCCTTCAACAGTGAAGTAGTTCTATTTTACCTGTTTTATTTATTGAACTTTCTCATAAAATTTAGCTTAAAGAAAGGATTCTAGGGGCGCCTGGGTGGCTCCGTTGGTTGAGTGGCCGACTTCGGCTCAGGTCATGACCTGGCGGTCCGTGAGTTCGAGCCCCGCGTTGGGCTCTGTGCTGACAGCTCAGAGCCTGGAGCCTGTTTTGGATTCTGTGTCTCCCTCTCTCTGACCCTCCCCTGTTCATGCTCTGTCTCTCTCTGTCTCAAAAATAAATAAAACGTTAAAAAAAAAAAGAAAGAAAGGATTCTTCCATATACAAAAATGAGTAATAAGTTTACAAATCTCTGACCTAGGAGGAAAACAGGAGCAGCCAGAATCTGCATCTCCATAGCCCTGACCTACAGTCTTAGCTGTGCACAGCAGCTGTAGCTGTCATCCCTGCCACAACTACCTTTAGCCACAGCTTTCCTAGACACACATGCTGGGAGCTACTGGTGACAAGGAAATTCCACATGCCTCCATCAGTGAATGTATCATTTTATCCCTATGCCAAAGTGAAGCAAGGTGTTTTAATTTGCGGGGCAAGGTCTGTCAAGAACAGAGGTACTGGGAAGCATGCATACTAACTGCTTTCCTTTTGTACTGTTATAACTTCCATTTTTAATTTTCTTGTATATAACATGCAATTGGAAAAATGAAACCATGATTTCAGTTTTTAAGTAAAAAAAATAAAAAACCCATAAAGCACTTTGAATACAGGAAGTTTCCAAGCAATATAAAAGCATCCCCAAATTTACTTTATCCCCACCCCACCTAGAAGATGACCACAGAGAAATGTCTGGATGCCCTAAAAGTCTAAGTTGGCTATAAAGATCATCTCACCCATCACAGCCATGCTGGCCTGTAGAGAAACAGAAGCCTGGAATGTCTCTTTGACTCCTCCCACCTTTCACGATGAAAGCACTGCTGCACTTGCTCATGCTTAAAGGCTTCACTGCTCTGCCCAAATACATGGTCTGCTGCATATCAGACCCGTTCTGTGGCCTCTCTTCCAATCCAAGGAAAAGAGTAACAATTGGAATCAGACCAACCTTCCCTTCAGTCTGGAAGATGCTCTCTCCCCTTTGCAGGGCTGGAATGGCATTGAGGGCTTGGCTGCTCTTAGACAGGACACCATTAACCTACTACACTGTGAACCCTCTCTCCCGTGTGCAGCAAGGCAGGGCCCAGGGTACTGTATTCTGGAGCTGGACCTCTCTGCTGAACTTGCTTTGTTCTATGTTTCTCTTATGCGTTTTCTCTGGCACTGAAGAGTTGCATCGTCTTCTCTCTCTGAGGTGGTAACAGCCAAGACTGGGGTTGAACTTCCATGTGGAAATAGGCACAGGATAAAAAAGAGGCCACACGTGACTTCAAGGTAAACTGGGATTTGAGGCAAAACTCCCTGCTAAGTAAGAAGAGGTCACCTAATCTTGTTTTTCTTTCTCTGTCATCTATCTTCTCTGAAGGCCAGAGATGCTTTTATGACCCAACCAATACCATCCTTATACAATCTCAACCTCACCACAACCTCTAGTAACTTTTACCTGATCTGCTTGCCTTCTCTCATATCATATAAGGAAAAGAAGACATCAGTATCTTCTCCAATGGTATTGTAGGTGAAACTCTTCAGACTGAGGAAGAAGTGATGTGGCACTGGCATCCGACAGGTTTCTCCATGACGTGGGCGCATCGTATCTACCTAATGAGGAAGGCAAAAAACAGTGATTCCAATTTTAGTTATTCATGCATTGGTCATAAATGAAAACTAAATGACTGGCTTTCCTCATACTACCAAAGGGGATAATTTAAGAGAGAGAAAAGGTGTTTTCTCTGCTAGTAAGGGAATACTGTGTCAATATACTTGGTTTGAAGTGGGCAAATATGCAGCTGGGAGAAGTAAACTGAGTGGAGGAGATATAGGAACAGTAATTCCAACTTATGAGTGAACTTAAAGTCTCCACAAGATCACAAATTTATAAATTCTCCACAAACTTCTAAATTCAAAGTTATTTTTTGGAGACACTGTCACCCTGATGCACTTGATTTACATTGTTAGATGGTAATAGCTACCATACTAAATGACACTTCTATTTTCTCCCAGATGGATTCATTTTAGTCTCCCGTCTACTTTATTTTAATTGTGCTTAAGTAAATTTGCACAGAGCAGTGAGTGGAGACCAGGCAAATCTGCTTAGAGACCAGGGCCATTTAGATTAAAGGCAGCACACAATCAAGACATCAGGGGTTGCTATCACTGGCTGGTGCATCCCCATGCTGTGATCTCTTAAAAGAAAGAGCTGAGGGAAATACTGGGAGGCCTAGTTAGACTGCTTACCTGGGATGTGCTTTGCTGTACGCTCTGCCGGCTAGATAAGTGCTATGGAAAGAAAAAAAGAAAAATTCACTCAACTGGGAAAGAAAGTAACTGTTATTCAGCAGCCTCTATATGTTAGGCATTCTGTAGTCTTTTACTTATATGTTCTCATTTAATTCTGATAAAAATCTTGGTGTAAGAAAGTGACGTGCTGAAGATCATACAGCAAGAAGGTGGCAAAGTCTGGATTCAAACACAAGACTCTCCAGCTCAGAGTACCAACCACCCAAGTGATGGGCTCTTGCTAGTAGATTTTTGCTTTGGTGCTGTTTGCTCCACACCCTCTACCACCTCCTGAGCTGCAAGATCCAGCTTATTCAGGCTTTCTACTCTGGAGGATGTGTAGTCTTTAACCTGAAGCACCCCTCACCCCCAACATGCTGTTCCTTTGCTGCTGGCTGATGTTAGAAGAAGCAGATTCCAATCCCAGCTAAATGTAAAAGGGTTGTGAAATCAGATAAATTGCTTACTCTCTCCAAGAGACATTTTCCTCACCTGTAAAACTGAGATAAAAGCTTTTATTGTCTTTCTCTCAGTTACTGTGAGGCTCAAATTACCTAACAGGAAGCTGCATGGAACAGTAGTTAGGGACCTAAGTGCAGAAGTGAGACCACCTGGTTTTAAATCTTGACTCACATTTGTCTTTGCTCATATAAAAGTGAGGATAACATTTTGTGCTGAACTCAACCTCACAGGGTTTTGTGCAGATTAACCTGGTATGGTAACCTGGTATGTTCAGTCCCTGGTCTTGTTAAATGCAACAATGAGAGTTTCTATTTGCTCTCTTTGGGACCTAGAAGTGGGAGACAACACTCATTTGGTGAACTATTCTACACCACGTGGGTAGGAAGGATGGTTGCTGAGTAGACTGATTTCATTTTTTTAATTTAGGGTTAAATGTGTCCATTTGGAAAACTGAATACAATTAGATGTTAATTTAAATGTATCTTACTAGCCATATTTGCTAATTATTAAATATTCATGTGTATTATTAGCTATATTAGTAATTTATTATTGATTATTAATGTTCATTGATGGGACTATATGTTCCCATGATGCATATTAAATATAATAAAATAGGCCTCCAACAGCTGGGGAAATCATCACATAGAATGTACATGTATAAAAGAAAATGTATACAAAAAGGTTTCTAAAAAATTGGGCTTTCCGGATGCCTGAGTGGCTCAGTCCATTAAGCAACCAACTCTTGATTTCAGCTCAGGTCATGATCTCATGCTTAGTGAGACTGAGCCCCGCATTGGGCTCTGCGCTTACAGTGCAGAGCCTGCTTGGGATTCTCTCTCTTCCTCTCTCTGCCCTTCCCCTGACTCACATGTGCACACATTTTGTGTTCTCTCTCTCCCAAAATAAATGAAACATTTTTAAAACTCAGGCTTTCAAAAAAAAGTTTTCTATGGTTTATTGACCCATATCCCACTGGGAAGGTTATTGGCCTAAAATGCTTTCCATTGTTCTATTTTACATTCAGGGACTACACTAAGTGATTCTTCTCAAGTGGAGTTATTGATTAACTCCTAAAATGACTACCACTCCTCAACACAAATATTCAATTATAACTACATACAGGAGTTTATAGCTAATTTCGGTGAACTCCCTTTTGACAATAACAAATGTCATTCTAGATTTTAGAAGCACCAAATTTGAGGAGAATTTTCAAACCAGTCTAACAAATGTTGTGTGGGTAAAGCATCAAAACTGACATTCTGGAACCTCTTTCATGGCACCGTAGGGAAAAACCACTTCCCCTTTAGGTGGCATTCAGCTGGCCAGCTGATAATATCCCTCTTCAGAACCATCACCACCTGTATTAGGGCCATAATGTATTATTTCTGTGTGTTTGCTACCTAACTCTAGACTTTGCCCTCCCAGAGAGCAAAAAAAACCCTATCTTAATCATTTTATATTTGAAGTACATAGGGCAATGTACATCAAAAATATAAATTAATTAAGAATTGCATGGACATTGCTAGTGGGGGTATATATAGTCATTTTGGAAAAAAATATGGCCTAATGTATTAGCGCTGAAAATGTTATTACCTAACCATTCAGCAATTTGTCTCCTGGTTATAAACCCCATAGAATTGCTTGCTGTTAATGTTACCATCATATTTTATAATTAATAACATAAAATATTCAAAGACCTCTGTTGAGTATATATAAAAATATTTGGCTGGCCAGATGTCTGTCTGGTGAGCCAAATACTAATACTTCTTTCTTTTAAATCTGTATTTCTGTTAATACTGGTAATCTACCTTTTCCTAGGAAAACTTTTTTATTTCATCCAAGTTTTCTCATTTATTACCAGATAATTCAAGAAAATATTCTCTTACAATTGCTTTTGTGTCCTTTGTGTTTGGAATAAATTTTCCTTTCTCATTAAAAAAATGTATGCACTACATTACTATTCTGCCAAATTTCCCCCATACAAGAAGGCGTTTTCAGCCCTTTGAAGTCTTTGGTTCATTTAGTCTACAAAAGTCTACCAATATGGGAAAAAACCCTGCAACTTCAGACATTCTATTCAATTGAATAACACAATTAATTGCCTGCTATATATATTTGGAACTGTGTTAAGTATTGTGTTAAGTCTTACAAGGAAATACAAGATCTATTTAGTCAGATCACTAATAAAACGATGCTTCATTGCTAGCAAATTTAATCAATTGATTTAAGTCCAGAAGTGAAAGTACAAACATTGATCTAATAAAAACATTAATTAGCACTAGAAGATAACAGACTAATACAGTTCCCAACACACGCTAATGTGGAAAGATAACAACATAACAGGAGGTTATAATGTAAGTATTCTGTTAGATCTCCCCACAATTTAGAAGCTCTTATATAATCTTCAAGTGTCCATATTCCCCAAAGAGGCATAGCTAATTAAAATTAACACAAATACTTTGTTGTTGCCCTTTGAAATGCTTTTTAGTTTGGGCGGCACCAGTTCTCTGTCGTTGAAAGTGCATTTGGACTTGTTATTATGCAGAAGCAAGAACTGAGGAGAATTAGGGGATTCTTCTGGTTCTTGTCATATAGAATAGAAAATCTGTGCATATAAAGAGATTTTTACCAATTACCACTGAACACTTGCACAGGGGATTGATCTTTTTAATGAAAAACAAAATTTCTAAATGTAAACTTAAGGTATAATCCTATTCATAAAGGTTTTCTTGCAAAATGAGTGACAAGGAATATTATATTCAGAAAGTTTCACATGGAGCCTTTGTAATTTCCAGTAATAGATTTAAATGTTAATACAAAAAGGTTTTAAAAGGTTATTCCTTTGAAGCTTCTTGGTAAATTTAACATTTAATCAAAACACTTGCTGTGCATTTACTATATGCAATTTAACATAAAAATAAGTTGTTTTCAATAAATTTATGGACTTTCAAAATCATTTTTTTCTTCTGAATATCTAGTTCTTTTATCTAAAGGCAAATACATGGGATAAAAGACAGCATAAAATGAAAAAAAGAGACTTGAATCTTTCCTTGGTCTTTTTGAGAAGTCAACATTTTAAAATTAACATTTAAATGTATTAAAAGTAATATAAGCACATAGGTTTAAAAGTTAAATAGCCTTAAAAGTCTTGCAATAGAGTAAACTGAGGGTTGATGGGGGGTGGGAGGGAGGGGAGGGTGGGTGATGGTTATTGAGGAGGGCACCTGTTGGGATAAGCACTGGGTGCTGTATGGAAACCAATTTGACAATAAATTTCATATTAAAAAAATAAACTGCTGAAAGACTACCAATTGGGGGGGGGGGGATGGGCCAGAGACACACTGATAATTCAGAAAAAAAAATGCAATTCAATCAGTAGACTTATTAACACTATGTTCAACCTCCCTAGTAATCAAATGAAAATTAAAACAATAAGAAACAATCGTGCCTATTAAGTTGGCAAACATAAAAAAAAGTCTTGCAATAAAATTATCAGTCCTCTGTTCATCCTGTACTATTTCCTAAGATAAGTACTTTTAACTCTTTATTATGTTTTTTTTCTAAAATTTATCAAGTATTTCTAAATGTCACATTTATAAAGCTCTCTTTTTGTGAAGTTTTAGATTTATTTATTAGCTTCTTATAATGGTAGTGAGGATTTTCACATTTGTTTATATTCAGTTCCCTTCATCTATCTTCCTAATATCTCCCAATTTTTGGTTAAAACTTGTTAGTGACTGTAACTTAAATATAGTTCACTGGTGAGCCAGTGTATTTCAATTACATTTCCTGTCTTCTACATTTTGCTTTTGTTTTAGAAGTCTTAGTTTTTGGGGCGCCTGGGTGGCTCAGTCAGTGAGCATCTGACTTAAGCTCAGGTTATGATCTCATGGTCTGTGGGTTTGAACCCCATGTCGGGCTTTGTGCTGACAGCTTAGAGCCTGGAGCCTGCTTCAGATTCTGTGTTTCCCTCGCTCTCTGCCCCTCCCCTGCTCATGGTCTGTCTCTCTCTCAAAAATAAATAAACATTGAAAATAATAAAAAATTCTTAAAAAGGCAATCTTAGTTTTATTTAAGTTACAGGGCCCTTTCCTATGTTCTTCTACAGCTTTATAAAATACCTTTCAAAAACATCCTCCATATGGTACAATATTCTTTTTCTTTCAAGTTTATATTTAAATTCTAGTTAGTTAAAATACAGTGCAGTATTGGTTTCAGGAGCAGAATTCAGTGACTCGTCACTTACATACAACACTGAGTGATCATCACAACAAGTGTCCTCCTTAATACCCATCACTCATCTAGCGCATCTCCCATCCACCTCCCTCCATCAACCCATAGTTTGTTCTCTATTGTTAAGAGTCTCTTGTAGTTTGTTTCCCTCTCTTCCCTCCCCCAATTTCCCATGTTCATCTGTTTTGTTTCTTAAACTCCACATGCGTGAAATCATATGGTATTTGTTTTTCTCTGACTTACTGTGTTAGAGCATAATAAATTCTAGCTCCATCCACGTCACTGCAAATGGCAAAATTTCATTT